CGGTCAGTGGTTTGGATCTGCTGCACATGCTTCAGCTGATCCTGCACAAGACTACTGTCGCCACCAAAACTAGCATGACCCCAGGTCACGACAGATCCATCACCGAGAATGGCGGCAAACGCAGTGTCAGAGGCTTGGATCTGCTGCACAGTCTTCAACTGACCCTGCACTCCACTACTGTCCCCACCATAGTGAGCATGACCCCATGTCGCGACGGATACATCGCCAAGAATGACAGCAAACGAAACGGCTGAGGCCTGGATGTGCTGCACAGTCTGTAGCTGATGCCGAACCGAACTACTAACGCCGCCATTTTCAGCTGCACCCCAAGTCACGACCGATCCATCACCAACAATAGCAGCGAAAGCAGTTTGAGTGGCTTGGATCTGTTGCACATTCTTCAGCTGCTCCTGCGCAGCATTGCTGTCACCACCACGGCTAGGATCACCCCAAGTCACGACGGATCCATCACCAAGGATGGTAGCACAAGCTACCAAAGAGGTTTGGATCTGAGTTCTGTATAGGTGCAGGGTGGGTGAGTCACCATGCTGAATCCCGGCATCCAGGATCGTTGAAAAAGCATCCACAACACTTCCAGATGAGTTCACCAAACACCCCGTTCCGACTCCAAGTGCAGCCTGTGCGCGACGTTTTGAAGTTCCCACCTCTTCATCCAGGCTGGCTTCGATAGTAGCTGTCTTGCCGCTGAGCAGTCCAACTTCCAGTGTGATCGACATGTGGTGCATACACAACGAGGTTGAACACAAATGGGAGTTTCCGAAATTAGGAGACCCTAATACAGGACCCTGAACTGAAGGATCCTTATTACAAGGACATACCCCTGATTTTCGGAAACTCCTCAAAGGATCACGGTTCTGAGCTTCTGAGGATTCAAAGGAAGATCTCTGGGAAGAGTGTAGGGTTTTGTGCCAGAAAGTGGTAGAGTTTAGGGATAGGGCTGAAGGATTAGATTTTGAGTAGATTTTAGGGTTAGGGTTGAGGGTTTAGGGTTTAGGGTTAGGGTGGAGGATTTAGGGTTCAGAGTTTAAGGTTTATCGGGTTACAGGATTTTGGGTGTGTTCTGCACAACGTCGTGACCAGAGGCTTGTCTATGTCTGCTGCTGAACATAATGTGAGCACATGGATAATCCTGGATAAAGAAGTAGGACAGACGTTTGGGGTAGTATATCGTAGCATAGTTCTACGTATTCATCTTTTCATCGCAAGGCCATGGAGGTAAATTTGCGGCTGAAGCACAGCTGTCGTAGCTACACCATCACACGTGCTAGACCAATTTTCAGGCTTGGACGGTCCAGGGTCCAGTTGCACCAGTACCCATTTACCTGTGAATCCGAAGTCCCACTGCTCTAAGGCTTAGGACCTGCACTCACATAAGTGGATTCAAAATCAGCTGTTGCGTTTTGTGTTGTTTTTCTGTGTGTGTGTGTGTGTGTTTTGGGGCTACAGGTAAACCCTGAGGGAATGAGTGTGCTGGGGTCTTTAAGCTTCAACGATCGATCCTCTGCAAATCCAAGTAGCTCAAAGTAGGTACGAAATGTTACACATACTGCCCGTGTATGAAATTTTACAGGACCCCTTTTAAATTCGCCTCGGCCCCGGCCGAAGCGGTCAGAGGTTCCTATTCGGATTCTCCTATTCCCCACTTACCAACGGATTTTTGGCAGTCCCACCCACCCCCCTCCCCCCCCCCTCCCCCCCCCCCCCCTCCCCTCCCCCCCCCCTCCCCCTGTGCCGATACACCCCCAAGGGATACTCCTTGTAAGGAGGTGTATGACCAGTTTATTCCCTAAGGATCAAAGGGCAGCGCCCTGCACACGGACAGTAGTTGTTTTGTCTTGCTACGCAAGGAGAGCTTGTCTTGTCTCAATATGGTAAAACCACTGTGAGCCAATGGGCAGCGGAATGTATATGTATGAGCATGCAGCCATTGCTGTAGGTACCTGTTAGAGCTACCCCTTTAGAGGTTTATGGTTTCAAACAGACACTAATTTTCTTTTACCGAAAGCATGGCCGCACATTCACACATATACTGTTATGCCCACTGTCACAGTTGCGGAGTTTTGGACTCATTATAAAAACAGCATATTATTTATGCTAGGTATAGCACTGAAGTACACTGCTGAGGAAACTCCACTCCTTTTGCGCACACACTCATGCATATTTGTCAGAGAGATCATCTGTACAAGATCAGGTCTGGTGATGTTCTACTACCGAATTATGCAGCCACTCATTGTGCTCTTGTTAGAGCCTTGTGATTCACTGTTGTGAAACTCTGAGAATTTTCTTATCTCAGATTCGGATCCAGGTTTGGATCATAGGCTCGAGCGTAAACGTTCGGATGTGGCTCATCCGGGTCTGAGTGGTCTTCTTCGGAACTTGAAAAGATTCCGAGTAATCTATTCTCAGCCCTGGTGAAGGCGGCATCTGCAGTATCATATCCATGGTTGGATGTTGTCGCCTTTGGCTCGGCCTTTGGAGCAGCTTGTGAGCTGACTGGAGTTGCCTTGGCTTTTGCCGGTTGCGGCTGCTTGGCCTTTGCCCTTTCAGCCCTTCTTCTTTCAAGCTGTCCGTCTGAGGACGCCCATGATCTTTCACTTTCATCTCCTGAGGGAGATAAGGCGTGGGCATAAAGGCTATTCCAGTACTGTGGTGCAGAAGGAGTTAGGACTTCTTCATTGTCAGATTCTGATTGGTCTTCCTCAGAGCTTTGGTCATCAAAGAGTGTCTCGAGGACATTTTTGAGATTGTTATTTCTTCGCTCTATCTCTAGTGAGGAATTGACCAATTGATTAAAGACTGTCCTTGAGTCCTTCAGTGCTGTGAGAAGGATTTCCACTCTGGATAGAGTATCTTGGATGGTGTCAAGATGTTCCTTTCTTTCCTCCTTGTCTCTCTGGATAGAGCCTCGCAATGCTTGTGCGATTCTGAGGAGGTCTGTGTATTTCGCAAGAGGCATAGTTACCGTTTGATTGTCATGTATGACAGTTGTTTCGTCACCGCTTAAGTTCCTGAATAGGACTTCCACGATCGGTAGGAACTCCGTGCTCCACGGTTCCTCTTCATCATATGTTTCTACGTGCTGTAGCACGCGTTGTGTAAACTGGCCGGCTGCTTCTACCGTTGCATCGATAGAGCTGACGTGTCTTGATACTATGTTTCGGCACGTAACGTTAATTGCCTGGCCTTGATTGGCTTGGTCAAGTGCAGCGTCTGCATAGGTGCAGAGTCCACTGTTGTGGGCTTCTCTAGCTGCCTTTCGTTGAATACGCCGATTTTGACCTCCTCTTCTGGTAGGACCTTTTGGTCTTGGAGGATCAGAAGGTACTGTTCCTTTCGCCTTCGGCGGAGGACTCTTAGGTGGAGGTGACATGTTAGCCTTGTTAGGCCCTGGTGGCATTGCCTTGGGCGCTGATGACGATGCGGCACTTGGGAGTGCAGATGTACCTCTGGCCCTTGCCGAGGATCCCTTAGGGATCGATGTGTAGGTAATCTGCATGGCTTCCTCGGCCATTTGTGCATGCAACAGGGTTTCCTATAATGCCTTCCATAAAGTCGGTTTAGCTTGCTGGCAGACGGTAATAATAGAGTATATATATGGAATGAGAATGGATCAGCCGCATCTGCTGCACGGAGTGGTCCGGCCTCGGCACGGGCACATCTACGTGCTCACCATCACCATAAGTATTACATTGCTGCTGGAGATTGTTTCCACTTATCGAAAGGAAGAACTACTGCTTTACAGGCCTGCCTATTTCATATAGACGATGGGTTTATAAATCTTAGATGTCCATCTAGGGTCCCAAACTTAGAATAGCTCATAAATCTGACACTTACATAAACCTCACTCTAGGAGGGTAACAAGGGCAAAATCAGAGGCAGGAACAGAGGAAAAACAGCTTCCAAGTGATATGAAAATAGATCCAACGCATGGTTTTTACGCATGACTGCATGTAAACTGCTACTAGGACTACTGCGACGACTACTACGCAGTAATCATATTAGTCGTAGTAGTGATAGCAGTAGTAGTAGTAGTAGTAGTAGTAGTAGTAGTAGTAGTAGTAGTAGACCTTTGTGTGACTGGTCTACGAGGTTTGGAACTATTGCAAAAATCTCAGGGGCTATCGGCACATTCTTGGGAACAACATGCACCAGCGTCCCTGAATAATTGGAACCCGTTCCGAACCGTCAGAACTGTTTCGATGGATCCTGGCACAGCTCAAAACCCGAATACACCAAAGAGATCCTGAGATGCGACATATTTCTGACTGAGGGGCCGTACCCAAAGCATAGCACTAATGCCTCCGAGCACCCGGCCTTGTGGTGAGCATTCCCTGACCTGTGTAAGCAAAACAGCCTTCACATGGATCAAGAGAAATCTGAGAATCACGAGAACTCGCACAAAACACAGAGATACAGGCATGACTGATGTACAGCTCTTTTTCTGTGCACACTGCAATCCATCAATGTCAAGCTGCATGTTGGTCTCCCAGGTGGCACATGCCAAAGCTGTAAGAAGACTGCTTGCATTATTATTGCTTCGACTCTTGTTATCTGGCCAACTGGTTGGCATCAAAACTGCACACCTGCCCGGAGATGGGGAGCTGTTTCTGGAAAAGCTATGCAGGGATGACGATGATGCGATCAACGGCAGGCAAAGCTGCCTCTCATTCAAAAGGACGAGTTGCTTCCGAACGGCTTTTTGCCCTTGCAGGGAAGCTTTGCTTCTGGAAAAAGCTATGCAGGAATGATGATGCGATCCATTGCAGGCAAATCCATTTGCTTCTCATTGAAAAACACGACTTGCTGTGGAACGGCTTTTTGCCCTTGCACCACCATTTTCCAGCCCAGCTTGAACTTGCTCGGGGTGGACCCCAGGATTTGGTGAAGATCACGAAGCTGGGGCGAGCAGTCAGACAGGGAAGCACCTCAGGCAACAGCAACACAGCACAAATCCATACAAGTATGCCCAAAGTCTTCAATCAAGGCGGTGCTGACAAGCAGCTTGCACGAGGCTGGAGCTCCTTGGGAGGCATGCCTTGAGGAAAGGGCTCGTGCATGTAGATTTGTGTCAGATTCTTCTCCTTGATCAGCGACTCCACGGTCTTGAAGGTGTTGCTTCCAGCATCAAGGATCAAACTCTTGAGAGAAACTGCAAATGGAAAGGACGGAACACCAGGCGCTGCATCCGGAGTGATCTTGCCCTTGAAGAACTCACAGAGAATAGTCAGCGGCTTGAGCCGGCGCTTAGCATCCGAAAGGGTTGTGATCACAAGCCTGCCCTCCTCGAGCTTCAACTCCATTGGCGGGTCCGAGATCTGCTTCAGCACGTTCGGGTCAGACGGAGGCGAGGCCTTGGGCGGCGGCGCCGCCGAGGAATCCTGTGGTGGCACCGGCAAGGCTTTCGCCGAGGCATTCTGTGATGGCACCGGCAAGGCTTTCGCTGCTGGCACGCCGCCCTCAACTGCTTTCGGGACTGGCTGTGGGGCCGGCACGCCACTGACAGGCGGCTGTGGAGCCGGTGCAAAAGGGTTTGGCCTTGCCCCCGCAGGCTGAGCCACTGCTAATGACTTACTCAGCGATTCCGAATCCTCCAAACCAGCTGCCTTGCTGAAGAAGGTCTCCAAGGTGGTCTTGTACTTCTTCTTTGTCTGCTCGTCAATCCAGGGGTTTCCCAGGTCCTTGTCGTAGTGCACCCCATAATTCAGCACAATTTCTTGATTGGCTGCAATGCCGGAGCCTGAGCGAGTACTTACACGCAGGATGAGCTTGTACATCTCTGATTCAGCACCATCGATCTGCATATCCAGCACAGCATTGGGAGCCTTACGAGAACCTCGGTGTGTTGATTCCAACCTTGTGAACATCATATTTGTTTTGCTTGAATTTCCTGATTGCTGAGAAGGGCACTTCCTTGATAATGATGGGCAAACCGAGCGAGACCCACGACGAGGGCATACATGTCTGTTGGCTCCCCATTCACCAAAACGTTCCGGATGAGCACAACCTGGAATGACAGTCTGTGCAATGCAATCCTGCATGGGCGCAATCTCTGTGTCGTGGACGAGTCATGGACAAAAAAACATGTCTAGCCGTTTACCCTAGGCACTGAATCTGCAAAGTACTCATTCGGAGATGCTCGCAAGCAATTGGTGAGGGCAGCCTTGCTCGTGAACAACAAGTTTGTGGCATCGCAGATTTTCTCGGCCTCCCTCCTGGAAGTCCTCGTCACCAAACCCTGGCCTCGCTCACCGAAGTTCTGCAAGGAGAGGCCACAGCTCACAAGCTCTTTCTCCCACAGACTGACCGCCATGCTACGAAGTTCTCCAGGCCAGCTGTCCACTGTGAGGAAAGGCCTTGAGTAATCGGGGCCTTTCCGTTCGACCTGAAGCATTTCCACGGACTGCTTCTCCGATGCCAGCCTGGGTCCCTCTATCATTTGAATGTCGGAGACCCGCAAGCTTCGCTTGCTCGACTCCCGACGTTCCCACCTTTCATGACTCACCTTCCAGAATCGCTGCATGATCTGACGACCATGGGCTACGCTGTGTTTGCGAGGCCGGTCCAAAAGCCAGACGACTTGCGAGGATTGTGCACGAGCTGCCAGCACTGGCCCCGGATGAGCAGATGAGCTCATGATAACCACAAGAGTGGACTGGCCGAGGATCTGTGTGAACACGCCGGCATAGAACGACATGGGTCTTGTAAACGGAAATAGATCTATGATGTAGTCCCGCTTCGTCCCGGCATCGGCTGCCTCCTCCTCATCGTCGGCGAAGGGGACGCCATCAACAACCATCATGTCGAACTGCTCCTGCTCTTTGTCTTCATCCGGGATTTCACAAGCCACCGTGGCCCCGGGACCCGGGACCACTGTGGCCAGCTCATCCTGCGACCTCAAGGGACAGTCCGAGGCCATGCATCGGAGTCTTGTGCATTCAAGGGCTTTCGCCCGAGACTTCAACAAAGGCAACGAGGTGGGCACTGCTACCGACTTGTCCTCCTTGTTGTGCAAAACAAGCATGAAGCCCGCTTTCTTCGAATGTGCTTGTGTGTCACCCCCAGTCAACTGGACCACGAAGCACTGCATGTCTTTCAGCACGGAAAGAGCTCGTGCCATACTGCTGGACAGCAGGTCTGCCCTTTGGGAGCAAATAATGCCCACCGAGGCCCTTGTCAGGCTGGCCTTCATGGCAAGCTTCGCCACCAGGTCAATGTAAGTGTTTGTCACACTTTTCTGGCTTGTGGGTGCATCAATCAAGAAGACCACTCGACCCGACGCTGGAGCCTTGGCCTCAACCTTCCGGAGCAGGTCGTCGTGGTCATAGACAATGTGCACGTGGTCGGCTTCTTGATCCGCATGCTTCTTCGCCGCGATCTCGATGGGATCCTCAACCACGCCCGTGCCGTCATCCAGGTCCACGAGCATCATGCTACCAAGCTCATCTGCTGTCCCACTTGCAGCGACTGCTGTCTGGGGGTCCTGACTGGAAGTTGCAGTTCCCTCCTGGGCCACTGGCTGGGACTCGGACCCGCCGGCTTTCAATTTGCTCAACTCCACCCACAGGGCATGGCATTCTTGAATGCCGGGGGCCTCGCTGGAGATTCCATGCAGCCTCATCTGGTTCTTCATGCACGTCACTACCTTGAATAAACCAGATTTTGTCTGCAAGGCTGTCACCACTCTATCGAAGGCAGGATGGTCTGTCGCCGTCTTGCCAAATGTGGTCCGCACCTGTGAGGCCCACAATTCCACAGTCTTCAACGGTGCACATATCTGTGTCTGAAACAGATCTGCATTCATGGGCACAGACTTCTCCGTGAGATCTCGCACAAGAAGCTCCAGACCAACTACGGCACTATGCCACGTCAGCCTTTGCCGGCTCCGGACGCCATCGCCCATCAACCAGGCATTGTCGAAGACATAGCTTTGTGGAACCTGCCGCCCTGCATGTTGTTTGGACTAGTCGTGCAACTTATTTGGGCGGAGATCACTGTTTCTTCAGACTACTAAATATGTGAAATCAAGGCCTTCAGGCTGCGACAGCCACTGGCGGATTTCCGCAGGCAAAGACTTGTGGCATCGGGTCCACTTGGAGATAGTGGCTTTTCGCCCCGTGCCTGCCAAACAACATTGACGGAGGCTGATGTCCCCCCACCCATACAGAGAGACTGCAGCACGAACCCCTCCCGGCCTAAGTTCGACAACAAGGAGTTCAGAACCTCCTTGTAGGGATCCTTGTGCCCGTTGGGGATTTTCGCAAAGGCTCGGCTCACGATCTGGAGCTTCGTGTGAATGCTCGTGGCGGCAAATTTGTTGTTGTCTTCATCATGAAGGGCTGCATTTGTTTGACTTCGCAATTCGAAGATTTCTTCCTCCTGCAAGATCTCAGTCCAGGTGTTTGGACATGACACATGGCACAGTATCACATGACTAGACATACGCCTCTTGCTCAAACCAGCCTTGTCGGAAGGATACTGAACGACATCGCACACAATGCCATTCTTGAGCACATCCAATAGCATGGCATTGAAGACTATGCCATCTGCTTCTGTGGCCTCCGAGGTCGTGGAGGATGTGGCCACGGATGGCTCCCCCAGCTTCACCCATTCTTCGTGCACCTGCACCAGGGCAGCCACACTGCTGTAGCCATCATCCAGAAGCCACTTGAGGGCATCGTCCTGCATAGGCTTCCCCTTGCACTGCAAGAGGCGGATATTCCTGAACAGAGCCTGGCCATAACGGCCCTCCCGAAACTCCTTCACGAGTTCCTTGATCCGCACTGAATCAGGTTCTCGCCAACCACTGCGATGCTCATCCAAAGAGATCTCTCTGATTGCGATACGTGTTGATGGAGACACCACTTCAGCACCCCGCACCACGGTGACATTGGCTTTCTTTCCACCACTCATGCTGCTGCTACAGCAGCTACAATGAGGATTCCCTCTGGCCACGAAAACTGCATGCACTTGCACTGCCATGGTCTCGAAAACCTGCACTGCAGGAATGAGTTCAGTGCTCAGTTCTTCAGCATGCAGACTGAACCTCACTGCGGGCACCCTGTTTACCTGCAAAAGCTCACGGTGACTGCTTCAGACAAATTCACTCTGTCTGTCACCAGGCTTGCCGTGCAAGCAACCGGCTGAAGCAACAATCCCCGAACAAAAGGTATTTAAACATTTTGGGCTTCGGCATCCTCGCCAAAACCCTTCCACAAAGCATCTTTGGCAGCCTGCCAGGATTGGCCTTCTTCGGACTGCAACCACTCAGCGAGCTGCTGACGCATGGTTGACCTTGGGCACTGCTTTGCTGCACGACCTGCTTTGATGAAGGGCTGCAGTTCCTGAATCTGCAGTTTGCCAGTCTTCCTGTCAAGAAGAGTTGCACCTTGCAAGTACTTGGCAACCGGCACCCTGGTTGCATACTTTTGTGTCTCCTCATAAGACAATCCAGCCCCGATGAAAGTGACTGCCAAGCTGTCTTGCACGGCCAGGCTTGCCAAATCATTCTGGGAACTCAAGGCAAGCGCCGTGGAACGTGCCCCCACGACATCTTTGGGAGAGGGGTTCGGGATTGGGCCTTCTTCAGGAATGTCATTCCTCCGTCTGACCCGTCGTTGACGCTCCCGCAAGATAGGGTTCTTACCTGACTGAACAAAGAGATCAACCAGGGCAGCTAGAAGCTCCTCATCCCTGGCAGATCCGATGCATTGGACTTTGGCCTCCCGAAGTCTCAAACGTCGTACTGTTCGTGGCGAGCTCAGCTGGTCCTGATGCATCTCATGCAGCAGCGAGCCGACCCGTTCGCAAGAGCTGCTGGCTCCATTTGCCAAGGCATTGTGTGCCAACATCAGAACTGCATGCCAGCAGTGCTGCAGTTCACCTCCTTCATGGTCTGGCCATACCAGCCTGCAACGCATTTGAAATCAGTATCTGGGGATCGGGGGGTCAACATTGAAAGTTCCGAATGTCTAACGCCCCATGCTTTTGGACAAGTAACTCTTTCTCGAGAAGGAAGGATTGCAGCACATCTGCATCACACAGCTTGGTCTTTCCAGCAATGATCCGCACCATGGGTAAGCCACTTCCTCTATGCACTCCACGTGGGCGGTTTTGCTTAGCAAGTGCATCGCATCGTAGAGCAGCAAAGGTATGCTGGAAATCAAACCGTGCTTGCAGCTTCTTGCGACCCCGCTTGATGTTGCAGCCGTTACCGCAAATCTGCAGCTTGTCTGCACAGACAGACCAGACAGTCCCAGCATTGGCATTTTGCACCAGGAAGCCCTGCACCAATGAAGCAATCTGCACGCACACTGCTTTGCTGGCCACTTGCCTAAGATATACTTCCAAAATAGCAGTTAAACAGTAACCAATACAAAGGGTTTCAACCATGCAACATCCAAAAAAAACAAAGATCCGAAATGAAAGAAAATCGTGCTGCGACCAATGCTGGCAAAGACAATAGCACTCCATTGTCAACATGACAGCCTGCACCTTGTAGGATTCCACATGTTGCCACCGGCCAAGCTCGAAACCTGCTTGTACTCTTTTGCAGAAAAGATCATATTCTCGAAGCAGCTGGCCATCTGTGGGCAACCCTCGTTCTAGCCAGGGCAGTGTGTACCGACTTGGCTTGCGAATCCCCTGCAACATAGGTCTCAAACCCTCGCCCACTTTTAGGAAAGCCTGCATCTCTGCAAGTCCCGGTGGTGACACGCACAGTTTCTGCAAGTTCCAGCACTTTGCCATGGCAGCAAGCATCTCTGAGAGATGCACCTGCACACCCACAGGACCCCAGTACTCCTGGTAACTTGTGCACAAAGAACCCAAGCATTTTTTCACGCCAGCCAATGCAGAATCCATCGAAGACACCACGAAGGGAACCTGTCGAGCTGTCTTACATTGAGGTAGATGAACTCGATACAGGGACTCCCCCTGAAGGGCAGCAGGCAAGGGCTTCTCCTCCAATATCTGGTATCGAAGAGGAACAGACAATGGGTCCTGAGCCCATGCCTCTGCATCTTCCCGGGCACTTGCTGGAGTCATTGTGCCGTGCTTTACATATGGTGGGACCAAGAGCCGCTTGCGGCGACCGCCTATCCGAAGAAACACTGGCACACGTGGATTTTCCCGCACACGTCTGGCTGGGCACTGGCAGCGAGGAGTCACGCAGAAGCTGCCCGGGGTGAGGTTGATGAGGACCTGCAATCTCACCCCTTTGAACTGTCTGTTCAGCAATATGTCGGCCAAGTGCTTCATGAGCACAGGAAAGGCTCTGCCCATTTTTGTGGGCAGGTGGGCATGGATGAAGGTTGCAACAGAGGTCTTGTCCGTGTAGTGCTGCCTCAGATTCTAACATGCGACATCCATGATCTAGTTTGGCCTGTTAAACCGTGCTTACAGCTAGCTCATTGCAGACAGGAGTGCAAAAGGCAGGACACTAGCATAAGGCGCCGTAGTGAATCCAGAAGCTGAGATCGAGTCCCCAAGGACTGCAGCATGTCTTCAAAGGCACGCTGGGCCACCCACGGTGGGTCCTCACTCTTCTCTGTGCATAACACAAAGGGCTGCAGGTCAGAGGCCATGGTATCAGCAAAAGCACACAGAAATGTCACCATCTCCACTGACGATAATCGACGGCCGATGCTGCTCAAAGCTGACTGGGATGTTTTTCCATGTCCAGCTTGCTTCATCTTCATTTTGCCATGCAGAGCAGCTATGTACAGGCGAAAGTTGTCTAGCAGGTTCTGGGCCACACAAGATAGCTGGAAGACCTTCCTGGCACCAGAGGAATCAGCCACTGCTTTCACGGGCTCATCTAGCTCCGCTGCTACGCTTCTGAACAAGACCTTGCCAGAATGAATACCAAAGTGTTGACTCATGCCTTTTCCCAGGGCAAAGAGTTCTTGAACCATCGGAGTCTGATCCACCACCCTGGCAAAAGCACAATGGGCCCGATGGAACTTGTCCCACTCCACCCAAGCAGGGATGTTGGGATGAATCTCTTGCCATAGCAGATCTCCAGCCTTTGACGATGAGTGCCTTGCCGAAGGTCCGCCACTTATCACTGCCCCATCACCGCCTATGCAACTCACAAGTCTGCATCTCAAATGGGAAACAGATAACTTGCCGGGATGATTTTCCAAAGCTTCAAGGATGCCGACCACCTGACTCGGGCCGTCGTGGAACATGCCGATGGATCTTGCATCGATGAGCCTCGTCACTGCCTTCCCTGTCACTGGATGGAGGAAGTTGGCCATCACCACTTGCAGTGTTTCATGTCGGGAAAACATGCCACTGCCCAAAGTCACTGGGTCGAAAATGACCGTCAAGGGAGACATCACTCCCAGAGATGGAAGCTGACCAGTCAGCTCTGCTGCATCGAGTTGTGTCAAGAAGCAAGCTGCTGCCTGCTCAACCAGGCCGACGAAGTGAATGGAGTTGTATTTGTCTCCGGTGTCTACCTGGTTCAGCACGAGTCTCTGCAAGCCGTAGCAGTACTCCACGTCAGCATGCCCCCGACTGGCAGTGAACAAAGCCTCCCGCAGCTGTGTCATCAAGACGGCCTTGCTGTCTCTCCGATTCTCTGCTTCACAGGCCTCGAGCCTCTGCTGGGCGGCTTCCTTGCCCTTGCAAGGCACTGGAACCCAGGAGTTCTCCCGCACTCTTTGGATCATGTTCCGTAGTGTGGCAGCACCCACACCTCGGTCGACACACATCTAGGGCCCTGTCTGCTGAACAGTATTAGATTCATAAACCCAGACTTTTCCCCGACCCTAAGGAAGAGGAGCAAACTCATGAGCAGAATAGACAAGCCTCGCAGAGTCCTAGCAGCTGCTTGATAGCATAGCCTGCCCGTGCTAGCATCTGAAACACCCTCCAAAGCTGGCAGCGATGAAATGATACTGTTCAAGGCATGCTTTGGCAGTTTTGAAAAGCTGGCCACAAGATTGGTCGCCAGGACCTGTGCTTGCTCTTCAATGGGAGCAATTCCCCGCCGAAGCCAACGACCCACGTTGACTCCAGGCTCCCAGAGTCCTTCCCAAACGTGCTCATGAGCATCATCTGCAAGTTGCACATGATCTTCTGCAATGCTGTGCTCATGCAAAGCATTCCAAACCTGTTCATCTGACACCAGGCTGACAGACTGCTCTGCAGATCCCAATGCATCATCAGCAACCAGCACCAACTCCTCCAGCTCTACGGCTGGAGCACATTTGGGCTCTGGCTCATCATCAAGCTCTATACTCATCCCTTAACACCAATCTGACAGTATGAATCTGTTGCAATACACACCGCTTCACATGCACCCCTTGGGCTCTCTAGCAGCTTTCCTGCGCACTAGCCTGTTGTGGCAGTGCTCCGAGAGTACAAACCTTCCCTCTGGGCCAAATGTAAGGCTTACGCAGTTTGACGAAGCACAGCTTCAACTGCTGCAGCTTCCAGCTCGGCAGTGTCGGCAACCCCACAAGTCAGCGATTATACTGTAATTGGGGTCTAGCGGTCCCTGGCAACCCCACAAGTCAGCGATTATACTGTAACTGGGGTCTAGCGGTCCCTGGCAACCCCCACAAGTGAGCGATTATACTGCAAATGGGCCCTAGCCGGGTTCCCCGGCAACCCCACAAGTCAGCGATTATACTGTAACTGGGCCCTAGCAGGGTTCCCCGACAACCCCACAAGTCAGCGATTATACTGTAACTGGGCCCTAGCGGGGTTCCCCGGCAACCCCACAAGTCAGCGATTATACTGTAACTGGGCCCTAGCAGGGTTCCCCGACAACCCCACAAGTCAGCGATTATACTGTAACTGGGCCCTAGCGGGGTTCCCCGGCAACCCCACAAGTCAGCGATTATACTGTAACTGGGCCCTAGCGGGATTGCCTAAAAGTCCTGATGTCTGGAGTGGCTATTTGAGGAACCGGACAACGAAGCGATTATAGTATAATCACTTACTAGTGGAGTTGCTCATGAAGGTATCCCACACATCTGGGCTTTCACGCAAATATTGACTTACTCTTGACACCGAAGTCGTGAACAAGAGACTTCCTGTATGGAGAACCCCGCAACGGAGCGATTATACTATAATCACTAATCAGTGGAGTTGCTCATCATGGAACTCTGTTGGACAGGACTTTTACCACTACAGCTCATAACAAAGCTTGCCGTCGCTCATACAGCAGCAGACCCTGGCACCACAGACTTTCTTCTTCAAAGTGCAGGAAGCTGTTTTGGAGAAAATGATGTGCAGGCTCACGTGCAGCCCTGTCCTTTGCAGCAGATCTGAGTACTTTTGAGATTTCAGATGCCAGAGGTTGAAGATATTATGTGGTATTCAAGGCACAAAAAACGTGAGCCCCTGCAGCGATCGAGCCATTCAGCTCTCGCTGGGATGCCCTGCATCTGCCTCATCATCATCCGCAGCTGGAACAGCTTCATCGGCCTTACGTTTATTGCTGATCATGGCCGCCCCTGCATCTGCTTCATCCGCCTTGCGCTTATCGCCGATCTTGGCCGTGAGGCGATCCAATTTGTCCTTCAGGAACTGCTCCTCCCTTTCGTGATCTTCCTTGGCCATTTCTGCATCCAAAACATCCATGGAGGCCCGTTGCCAGCAGCCGAGCACGTAGTCTCTCTCGTCCGAAAGCTGTTTGATCTCCATGCTCTCTCGATTGCGGATGACTATGTCCAACGTGCACTGGCAGCTGCATGTCACGTCCCACGGCATGTTCTCGGAGGGGTTTTTTTCTCCCGTCCAGAATGCCTCGCACGGTAACGAAACAGGTATGGAACTCTAAACAAGAATGAGCAGTCTCCTGACTAGGTGCAGATAAGCTTCGCAAAGCGGGGACTGGCTCTTACACACAGGCTCCAGGAAGGATGGGAAATCTTTGCAGCCATACTGCAGCAGAGGAAACCTGGATTGTGGCGAGAGGACCATTTGGTTAGGGTTTGGGGGTTTGGGGTTTTGGGTTCAAGGTTGTGTAGTCTTCATATTGCCAGCTAGCCTTGACTGAACCTCTCTCATTCCTAGACCCGGCCCTACAACTATTGTATATGTATCTCTTGTTCTTGAAACTAACGAAACGAACCAGAGATCCTGAACCTCGTCCGTACCCATGCTCATCACATCATGGTCACCACCATCCTGCCACCCAAAAAAAATCTACCAGTAGACGACATGCATGTTTAGCGAAAACCACAAAGATAAATCACGACATCTTGAGATAATTTCTCTAGCAATGCCTGGTCACGTCTGTGTCCCTCCAGATCTCAAGAAGAAGCCGATCACGGCCAGCAACCCCGCATCGGACACGTACGCCGACACTTGGGCTCTGGGATCCTTAGACTTCACCAAGGCATTGTCCATCACGAGGGTGGTGAAGGCGGCGGTCATAGCAGCATCCTCGAACTGGAACATAGTCCAGAGTCCACTGGTGGATTTGCCAGTGGGCTCAGAGAGTTTGGTCACCAAGGATGCAGTATAGGTCCACAGCTTCACCTGGCACCGCAACAACAATGGCAAGATCAGAAATGTTAACACCACCACCAAAAAAAACCAACAACAAGAGCAACCTAAACCGATGACAGCACGTGACGCCATCGCCACTCAGATTGAAGTTGATGGACCACTTGAACCTGCCGGAGGACTTGTCCCAGTGCAAAAATCCGTTCTCGTAAAGCGTTTGTGGCGAGAGGATCTCGACTTCCAAGATGCCAAAGGTTTGCTCCTGCCCAAGAAGACTTCTTGCCTTAGTTGCCGAGTGCATAAGCCTAAAAAAGTTTAAACTTTCAGTTTTAAGAAGGTTTCATTATCGCTGCTAAGTGGCCTTCATCACATTCTGCTTTCGAACCCCGTGACTCTTCGGTGGATCTTGGGAGTTCGACAGCTTGAAGCCGAGCCTCAGGCACAAGGACGAACCTACGATGCAGGGTACACTCATGGCACTACAGTCACATGCTATACACTGTCACTCATGTTTCTGATTTGGAATGCGGTTCAAGGGACTTCCTTGCATCGTGATGCTTGATGGAGGCGATCGCCTCTGCCAAGCTGGGCGCCAGGAGCACCTGGGACCCTGCGACAAAATCGGAGTGCCCCTTCGCCGCAACGTAGAAGCGGCTCATGATCGCTGACAAGCTGAAAGGCACTGGAGGCAGTCAGAAAGCAGGTTGCTTGAGGAACCAAGCCCCATGTCACACAGGAGACTGTTCATGACATGCACTGGCCAAACGACCACAACAGCACGCCAACGCCGCTGCAACCGCTAACCTGCTTTGACAGTGCCCTGGCTAGCAAACCAAGCCCCATGTCACGCACGAGACTGTTCGTGGCATGCAAAGAGACCGAAAGACCACAACAGCACGCCAACACCGTTGCAACCTCTAACCTGCTTTGACAGTGCCCTGGCTAGCAAACCACAGCAGCACTAGAATGCTCAACTGCTCCAGTATGGGCTGCAACCTGGATTTAAGGATGTTCTCACAGGAAGAAAGCCTCTGGTTTGCATTGCTTTTTGCATCCATGAGACCTCTGCTAATCTCTCGACTTGTGCATGCCGAGCTTACATCTATCTATGATCTCAGCAATGCTCAATCTACGGGCTGCCTCGCAAACTGTTCCATGGACAAATTGTCGCTCGTAATCAGCAAGCCAGCCCTCAGAACATCGAAGGTTTCGAGCCTTGCCGAAAAGTTTCTCGACTTTTTGAGGCAGTATGCCTCTCAAAGCCATCCCCAGGTCGCGACAGTTTGGAAAAAGGATCAGGGAGGCATGGGTAAACAGATCGTAAGCACAGCAGCCCAGGGCATAGATGTCTGCAGCAGCTGACACCGTCGCCAAGTTATCCTGCAAGCAAACATGTGACATGAGTCGCGGACTCTGGAAGCATTTGTTTACTATTATTTGCTTAAGAACCCACCAAAAATAAAAAATATATTCCTTATGGGGGTAATATAGGGATTATTATTTTTATTTTTTGGGTGTTTCTTAAGCAAATAGTAGTTTACTAAGATGCACACTCACTGTCCTGCTTGTCCTGTTTTTCCAAGAGTTCCCATGGACGGTAGGGTCTGGCATAGACTGAGTCTGCCTCCACACGTGCCAGACCTGCCTTGTCTAGTCTCACACTGAGGCCAAAATCTGCAATCTTCAGCAGGGAGCCATTGAACAAGAGCATGTTGTTGGGCTTCAAATCAGCATGAAGGACTGCCTTGTGGTGCATCCAGTTCAGCCCCTGAGCAGCCTGCCACAGTAAAGCCCACCGGCCAGAAAGCCCGCTGCCATTTGCAACCTGAGTTGCAAGCTGATTCTCCTCCCGCCTCAGATAATCCAGCAGGCTCTCTGATGCAACCTCCAAGCAAAGGCCAAAGCGAGGGCCGTCATTTGTAGAGACGGTAACTGCCCCGAAGCACTGCAGTATGTGAGGATGTCCCTGCAGCTGTGTGTACAAGTCATACTCGGAAAGACTGGCATTCGTGCCACTAGCTTTGGCCACCTTCATGCCATACTCAGCTCCAGTGATTGTATGCTTCACCTGCAGAACCTTGGCATAAGCCCCTGCACCCAGAACGTGCATCTGGGAAAAAACGGCTGGCTCTCCGTGCCAAACCACATGCAACATAGCGGAATCAAGCTGGCTGGCACAGGGACTCTTGGTCGGAGCTTGACTCTGTTTCTTCAGCATGGCTGCACGGAGATCCCGATTCCGGGTGTTCAAGCTCTTCGCCTCCAAGTGCCACTGCTTCTTGATCTTTGGGGGAAGCTTCTTCCTTATAACTGACAAGAATAGATCAGTGATAGTCACCCTGTAGAACAATTACAGAAACCATGCTGTCTCAAAAGTGTCAAAGAAATGAATTTGGAGCAAGTATCCAAGCAACGGACAGCTCCGATTTGGAGTATCGCACAGCTGTCTTCTGATGCAGTCGCTTCTTCACCGGAACCCTCACACCAGCTGCATGCCGCTGCACCCACAAGGCATAAGAGCTGGGAGCTTTCGAGATGCCCAAGTCAGCTTGCTTGATGTAGTGTGTCACCTGGCACGTGTCTCCATGGAGCTGAAGAGATCTGCCTAGGCATGATACTGAGCTTGATCTCTAGCATGAAACAAGCTGGCATGACCATGGGAACTGAAGGAGAAACACCACTTTGCACGCAGCAACGGTTGCGATCTTCGCTTCAGGCGCTCGCCAGGATGCCATGAAAAGGGTCACCCCTACGATGCCTCCGAACTTTAGAATCCTTACCTTGTGGCTATCCCTACTTGTGGATGTAACGGATCCTGCAAACAAGATTCGGCCCAACCGGAACGAAGGCTTGTTTTACTAAGGTTCTGAGGCTCCTGAGGGCTGTGAACTGCTGAGGTGTAGCGCCTGACACAAACCCCTAACCCAACTAATGCCACCAATGCCGAGATCCCTCCTAGAACCCCAATCTCTATTCTGACACCCGACACCCCAAACCTAACTAACGCCACGAAGGGCGAGACCCCGAGCCTAGCCCGCCAACCCAACAAGCTCTACCGTAACACCTGACGCCCCAAACCTAACTAACGCCACGAAGGGCGAGACCCCTGGCCCTAGCCTAACCCGCCAACCCAACAAGCTCTACCCTGACCCCCCATCCAAGAACCTCTACTTACCCTAACACCCAACGCCAAAACTTCAAATAAACCCCAGATCCCAAACCGAATGCGCCAAAGATTGAGCCCCGGGTAACCTCATTGGAAGTATGTCCTTAACGCTAGGCCCATGGAGCACTAAAGCTTACCTCACCCAAGAATCCTCAGCCGGAATGGACTCAGACACTCGCACGAGGCTGGCAGGTTAGTCAACCAATCCTTCCAGGATGCTGAGTCGCTGACCCGGGCCATTTTGTAATGTAGTGCCACTGGTCCCTTCTGGACTGCCTGGCATTTGGAGGAGCTGTACCAGTAGTAGCGACGTCTGATAGCCCTCGGGGTCCACCACTACTGCTACAAGAAACAAAGAGGCAAGATCAGAGGCAGGAACAAAGGAAACACAGCTTCCAAGACAGGTAAGAACAGCTCCAACACCTCGTTTTTTATGCATAAGTGCAGATACTGACTCCCAAGTATTCTTGTGCCCAACCTACTGCTGCTACTACTACTACTACTACTACTACTACTACTACTCCGAGGACTAACCCTACTCGTACTGCCACCACGGCATCGGGTTTTGTGGGTGTGGGATTGGTGTGCAGAAGATCAGGAGCTGTAAAGCTTGGGGGTTTCAGAGCGGTCTTATGCAGCTGAAACCCCGAGTTAACGCCAAACTCTAAACCTGAAGCCCTATAAACCCTATAAGCCCGAAACCCCGTAGTACTAGTCGTCGTCGTCCTCCTCCTCCTAACAGTGGCAGTCCAGTACGGCGAAAACCGAAACCTAAGACCCCGAAGGCCGAGAACCGAAACCTAGCCTAACGCCGCGAAGGGCGAAAACCGAAACCTAGCCTAAAACCCTAAAACCTAAACCCTGAACCCTAAACCGTAAAGCCTAAACCCGCTGACCGGATGATTTTGGGTCGTAAAAGGGAAAAAGCGGCCCAGGGGCAGTCTGTCAAGGTAGGCCCAACGCCACGAAGGGCGAAATGAAGGTTTAAGGTTAAGGGTGTAGGAATTCATAAAAAGAAAGTGACAGTCTACCCTTAGAACACAAGTTTGAGACACCTGACCTCTGGGCAAGAAGCTGAGGCCTACAGTTTTACATCCTAGCAGTTGCAGGTCAAAAAGCTGTGTTGCCAGTAAGTGGTTCATTGAAGCTTGTTTGCTCAACTATTGATGTATCCCCAAACACCTTAAAGGCCGCAACCTTCAGCCCCCAAACTCTGCATCCCAAAACCGTACACCGTAGGCCGCAAACTAAGCCCCTGAACCCTATACTCAACAGACTCAACACCCTTATGTTAGACCACTCGCAGCCTGCCAGGCCGATGTGGAAGAAAGCGGAGGGCGGCCAGGTGCTCTTTCCTGCATAAGGGTTTTGGCTTTACAGTCAAGTAATTACGGGCTTCGGGTAAAAGGCTTTGGGCTTAGGGTTGAAGGGTCTGTTCTGTTCAGGTGTAAGGGCTTATGGCGGTTTTGGGCTTCCGCTGTGGGTTCGGGGTGTACGTTGCATACGGCTGAATACATGCTCAAGCCCAACACCCTCAACCCCTGCCAGGTGAAAAGGGATTCCTGGGGAGAACGGACCTATTGACTAAACAAAAACCCTAAACTCTTTTCGCGAAGCACGGCTCGGCTGCAGCTTAGCGTTGGACCACATCCGTTCGACCTTCGGTCAAAGCAGGGGCATCAAAAGAAGAAGCTGCAATGTCCAGCCAGTAAGACAGAAGTCGTGCGGTGCAGCGGAGTCAGTCTGTAGGTGTCCAAAGCTTACCGCCGCCTCTTTGCCCGTCTCGCCAGTTCCGCCGCAGCCGTGGCATCTTTAGCAGCATTCTCCTCCCGCTTCCTCTTGTTGAAACGCAGCTTCGCCTCGTGCAGAGCATCCTCCTGAGTTGTCAGTTTGGAGCCCTATTCCTAAGTCCTAAACCCTAAAGTCCTCAAGCCTATACCAAAATAAACGAAATGAAGCCAAGGAGCGAAGCAGGAGAAATGAGCGGAGCATCTGGTATCAGGATTCCACCAGTATTTGAAATCTCTGTCCCCCCACTTGCACCACAGCTGCCAGGGTCGCAGCTCCAATTCATATTCCTCGGGCGGAACCTCGATAACAGGTTGTAGCGAGCCCGGGCGTGAAAAGGATATGCATCTGCCCACACTGTGCTCATAATACCTGGTGCCATCTGCGAGCAGGACGTGCGACCAGCCATTGACCAAAGGAATATGCTGGTCAACGGCACTCACCAGCACCTGTGCGATTTATGCTTATGCCTTTAAGGTTTTTCCTGCTACCTAGCAAAGACGCAGCCCGCATAGAAGGGTTTGGTTTGGGTTTAAAGTTCAAGCCTTATGAAATTACGGAGTCCAAAACCGGTCGAGTGGCGGGAACGTCCTCCAAAGGCTGGGGAGCCCCTGCTTCACAGTCAGGAGCAGGCGACGAAGCCGAAGCAGCTGCAGCCCTAACGGCCTCCCACGCCGCGGCCTTGTGGCATGAATCACGGCCCCAATATCGCAACCCCAAATCACACTAAACCCTAAAACCGATCAAATATTCCGAAAAATAGCCCAAGCAGCCCAATCGCTGCAGTCACTGAAGTCCGGCTCCACATCACGGCCGACAGTCGGCTCAGCGCCAGCTATGTCGACGCCAGCTATGTCGACGCCTTCAACCCCCGACTCCTCGCCAGCTATGTCCACGCCGGCAATGGACGTAGGAGTGGGTACATCCGCCTCCTGAGGTTTCAGGTGTGGGAAGGGTTATTTACTTTGCACTACGGAAATCCAGGGTCATACCACTTGGCAGGGACTACCAAATCAAATGTGCTTGTGTGCCCTCTATAGTCTTGAATAAAACAGTGGTTCTGCTGAAGCTCCGCCTCCTCCATGGATGCAGCCGCCTGGCCACCGCCAGATGCAGCCGCCTCGCCACCAGCAGAGCCAGAAGGAAATCGTGGAGGCACAAGCTTGCCCTTCAAGGCCGCAAGAGAAAAATTCTAAACCCTAAACCCTAACACCCTGAATCCTAAATCCTGAACCCCTAAACCCTAAATCCTCAACCCTAAACCCCTAAACCCTAAACCCTGAACCCTAAATCCTCAACCCCTAATACAGCTGAAAAAAGTATGACAATTGCCAGAGAAGCTTCGCCAGCAAACTCCGACTCTGCCCGTGCAGGAATCAGCTTGCCCTTGGCTGCTTTATTTTAAACCCCGTGCTAAGTATCTCCAGACATCAAAATTGTTATGACAGTTGCCAGATCACTACAAGCTTCGCTTTCAGAAGCCGATGGCATCGATGGGCCAGGGCCAGCATCTTCTGCCACAGGCACACGTGCAGGGACGGCGACGGCCTTCTTAAGTTAGAATAGTTAGCTCCTTAATTTTGAACCTAATAATTAATGCTGTCCCCTCACAAAGAAAAGATTGCTTCAATTCTTCCGGGTGGCCTGTCTAGGAAACGGAACCTCAGCAAGTGTAACCCTAGAAAAAGCAACACCTAAACCCAAACCCTTCGCTCAGCAAGTGTAACCCTAGAAAAAGCAACACCTAAACCCAAACCCCTTGCACCCGCAACCAACCCCGGACCTTCAGGCGATTCTTCTTGTTGTGCCCGCCACGCCGCCCGTCGTAGTAAGTGTCCCGCCAGAAAGAGCTCGACGACATGGCATCCAAAGCCCCGAAGCTAAAGCCACCAGACTAGATGAGCTAAAGCCCCGAGGTTAATTAAGCTACAGCCCTGACGTTAGGTGAGCTAAAGCCCTAAGGCTAAGTGAGCCGAAGCCCTAAGGTAAAGTGAGCTAAGATCTAGTGAACTAAAAACCCTAAGGTAAAACTGCTGAAAAAGCCCTAAGGCTAGGTGCTTGAGTTTAGTATTTAGGGTGTTGGGAATCGATTTTGGAGCTCGGAGGGTGGGTTCAGGGAATTACCGAGGTGTGTTTGGGGTTTACGCTCTCACAACTCGGACATGCCTTAGGGTCTAGGGCTGTGGTGGGGGGGGGGGTTGGCGAAGACTCTGCTGTTGAGGCGGCGACCAGAATCCTCAAGCTCAACTGAAAGAGAAACGCGG